ATGTACGTGCATTTAAACATATAAAGCTATCTCGACATATGGAGATAGCTGAAGTATTGTAATGCCAGGTTACACACATAATAGATATAAACAGGTTTAAGTACTTGTATAAATCTTATTAAGTGTAGATTTTAGATATCATTTATTGCACGTATTTGTGGTTCCCAGATACCACAATGTTAAATCCTCAAGATGAATGTTAAATCCTCAAGATGAACATTCTCAAGATGAACGTTAAATCCTCAAGATGAACGTTAAATCCTCAAGATGAATGTTAAATCCTCAAGTTGAACGTTAAATCCTCAAGTTGAATGATAAATTCTCAAGATGAATGTTAAATCCTCAAGGTGAATGTTAAATCCTCAAGTTGAATGATAAATTCTCAAGATGAATGTTAAATCCTCATGTTGAATGATAAATTCTCAAGATGAATGTTAAATTCTCAAGTTGAATGTTAAATCCTCAAGATGAATGTTAAATCCTCAAGATGAACGTTAAATCCTCAAGATGAATGTTAAATCCTCAAGTTGAATGATAAATTCTCAAGATGAATGTTAAATTCTCAAGATGAATGTTAAATTCTCAAGATGAATGTTAAATTCTCAAGTTGAATGTTAAATCCCAAAGATAAGCTTTGAAGGAAGATTGTTTAATCCCCCATAATAGATCTTGACATTTGTTTCTTTTTCCTCCTTATCGACTTTTTCTTTTGACTAGAAATCACATTTTGACTGTCCAAAGACCTCTGGCCTCGAAGCGTGGATCTTTTCATCTGAGTTGACCTCATGAGGTCAGGGTCATCCGACATATAGTCGGTGGGGGTCGGGAGATCGAATCTAGTGAAGGAGTTTCTTGATCCTTGACGGAACATCTCAAGCTTGACCGAGGTCATATATTGTTTCCCAGCCGAGGTCAATGACCTCCGGTCTTCTTTATCGGACCTGAGGCTGGATTCAGACCTCCCCGTGTTGAGGTTGGATTCTGGAGTCTGGTCGGATTGTTCATTAAATACATATTGGTCAGAGTCTGGATTCTGATTCTGGGACACATTCAGATCTAAATGTACATCTTGACTTAAAGTCTGACTTGATTCTGGAGTCTGGTGCAGTTCTTGACTAAAATTGGTTCCGACTTCCGGGCTTGTGTTTTGTACGTCAACACGTCTTGTTCGCAAATTGAACTTTCCGAAGCAACCCTGGAAAACATTCGAATAAAAATAGTCGACATAAAAATCCAGTTCATTGTTATTGATAAAGAAAAATGCAAGGATAGTTTGTACCCAATGTTTATATGAATTATATCCAAAATATTAATACAAATCCAGTTCAATAATCAATACAGTAAACATTTTAGCACTCCCTAGCTTCTTGAATTATATCCAAAATATTAATACAAATCCAAGTTCAATAATCAATATAGTAAACATTTTAGCATTCCCTAGCTTCTTGAATTGAATTGAATATTAAGAATAATAGAAGATAGAATATTTTGTCAAATGTTCTCATAAATATTTTTTAAAACATTTTTTGGAGTTAAAAATACTTGTACTAATTATGAAAGGAGACCATTTTCGAAATAAGGAAGTCAGTAGGGTCAGATATAAGAAAGTCAGTAGGGTCAGATATAAGGAAGTTAGTAGGGTCAGATATAAGGAAGTTAGTAGGGTCAGATATAAGGAAGTTAGTAGGGTCAGATATAAGGAAGTTAGTAGGGTCAGATAAGGAAGTTAGTAGGGTCAGATATAAGGAAGTTAGTAGGGTCAGATATAAGGAAGTTAGTAGGGTCAGATATAAGGAAGTCAATAGTGTCAGAAATGGAATAAAGTTAACGTTAAACTTCTTTTTATCATTTAAGTTTGTTAAATATTATTTATTTTCCCTAGTCTGCGAAGAGAACCCAAATTTTGTATTAATCGCTCCGCATAAACATGCTTCCCTACGGAGGGGGGGGAATAACTTTCATAATATATACACCCCTGTAAAGCTCCCCTGAATACCTGTGGGCTCATTAGTCATTCAAATTTTGCTTTCAGTCTGTCCTTCAGGAACACGGGAACTAAAAAGTTCAACAAATCAATCAATCAATCTGCTCAGAGATCAACCAAAAATCAATCAATTGTTAAAATAATTCATCAATCAAATTATCAATTAATTAATCAAAAAATCAATCAATCAATCAAACAATTCATAAGTCTATTAATCAAGCAAATAATTCGCGGATTTTATAAAAAAAAAACTTTCGTGGATTATCAAATTTTATAAAAATCGAATTTTGTTTAAATTTTTTATCATTCATAACCCTTCCCTGGGCTGGGGTCACGTGAGGTCCCACACAAAATTTGGGCCCGTTCGGTTCAGCAGTTTTGACGTTTATTGGACACAAACATTAAGACAAACAGACAAGCAAAGTAAATATATAGATTCATGGATTCAGTGATGTCAACCCTGCAACCTGGTTTGGAAAGATCAAACAGAGTGACAAGAATGGCTAACGACCCGTTGAACTTGGAAATCCAAACTCCATCCATAAAATAAAACTCTATCCCACTGGAAGTACAACAATCAACCACAGTAAATAACTTCTAAAGAAACTACAATTTTACCTAGGGATAGGAGAGCTAAGACGACATTTGAAGACAATGATACCTATTGATATGAGAGCAAAGACGATAATTATACCTAAGGATATGAGAGCAAAGACGACAATCATACCTAGGAATATGAGAGCAAAGACGACAATTGACGACAATAATACCAAGGGATAGGAGAGCAAAGACGACATTATACCTAGGGATATGATAGCAAAGACGACCATTATTACCTAGGGATATGAGAGCAAAGACGACATTATACCTAGAGATAGAAGAGCAAAAACAACGAGTAATCCAACAGATTCAAAAGTTATCGGGTCCATTGTAGAGGTAAGCTGCTGGAGGGCGGTACCAGCCTAGGAATACAAATAGATATTTTACATAAAGGGACTGTAAGCGTATTTTCAAGTGACCCTCCATGCAAAGATGGCAATTCAGATTCACAACAGTGTCCTTGAAACCATAATCTGATAAAAAATGTGACACAAAGTGTTTAACTTTTTTAATCTCTATCATGTTTCTTATATTCATAAGCAAAAAACAGAAACAAAAAGAACAGTTAAAACGTCTATAACGAATTCATACTTGATCAGAAAAATGTTTTAAGGGTACCGTTGTAAATCAGGCATTGCCATCTTTGCATGGAGGCTCACTTTAAATTACACTTACAGTCCCTTTAAAGACAGGGGGGGATTGATTACTATATATATAATATTCCTGATAAATTTACCTGTATGAAGACAAAGGATGGTGGAGCTACTCCAAAGAAAGATCCGACCCAAAATGGAACAAGGGGAACACCTAAACATATAGAATTCTAGACGTGTACTTTATCATGTTTAGTTCGATGTAAGATCTTAAATATGGAAAATGGAACAAGGGGAACACCTAATCAAATAGAATTCTAGACGTGTACTTTATCATGTTTAGTTCGACGTAAGATCTTAAATATGGAAAATGGAACTAGGGGAACACCAAATAAAATAGAATTGTAGATTTGTACTTTATCATGTTTAGTTCGAAGTAAGATCTTAAATAGGATGAGGTTTTTTATTTTTGTTCATTTTATCAAAACAACTGCTTAAAATTACTTTTACCAGTTTGATTTTTAAAAGTTTTTAACATTCTGAGTGGCATTAAAATCAAATCAAATCATGCTTTTAGGGACGTCCTACACCCACACCCCAAACTTGAAGTGACTATACTAAATCAATAATGAATTAAGGAATTTGTATTTTTTGTTTATTTGTATTTTTATCACTAACAAGAACGAAAATGTGCAAAATCAACAATCTACCGATTCACAACGGTACCATTTAACCCTTTATCAGAGCAACTAATAGTAAATTTTCTAACTTGAAAACTATTTAATTCTGTTAATTTCATTCCCCATCTCTGTCGCACGAATCTGCAAATTTTTTTCATAATGAAACCACAGCTAAAAATCATCAATTTTAAGACTGAAAAGAAAGAAAATATTTACCGTTCTTTGACCGAAGGTTTGAAGGGTAAGACTATTGACTGACCTATGACGGGAGAAACGATGTTGATAAACCAGTTTGGAAGGAAAGGAGTAATCCGTAGAAACAGAATATACGAGATCAGGTTATCCCTGGAATATCAATCAATCAATCGTTATTGTAGCGGAGTCAATGTCCTTAGATATGTATCTTTAAATCTAATTAAAACATCATTTAGATTGGTTTTGTGAAACAAATCAAGTCAAACTATTTACAATTACTTCACAGAAAAGTTTAGGATTTTTACTTTACAAAGAGTTTTCAAGACGAATTTTGGCAATATTGGTCAAGGTAACCCGTGGTTGAGAAAAAGTATTTAATTTTACTTTGTTGTCCCAAGGGAAAGTTAAGTAACTTAACATCCCGCTGTTGAAAGATTCATGGGTCGGTAATGTTGGTAAGAGGTAACTATTTTTATAAATATAATCACCTCTGTTTATCAACCTTCTTTGACCAGTCGTTAGCCCTGTCCGGTATATAGGTTCGGACAAGTCGTCTTCCAACTAGATAACTTAGCAGGTAGCAGAACGAGGCCCCTAAATATATATATAATAAAGGATTACTGGAAAGAATGATTGATTGAATGAATGAATGAATGAATGAATGAAAGGATGAATGAATGAATGAATGAATGAATAAATATATAGGTTCGGACTAGTCGTCTTCCAACTAGATAACTTAGCAGGTAGCAGAACGAGGCCCCTGAATTTTTATAATAAAGGTTTACTGGAAAGGATGATCGAGTCAAAGGATGAATGAATAAATAAGTGAATGAAGGAATAAATTAAAGAATAAATAAATGAATGTAAGGATGAATAATGAATGAATTAATGAAAGGAAGGATGAATTAATGAATGAATGAATTAACCTGTAGCTGAACAGAAACATACTGTGAAGAGAGCTAGGGGGAAAGGGAACAGGAATCCGGAAATGATTGACAGAAAAATGGAACCTGGGATTGCAAACGTCTAAAAATATTAAAAAAGGGGATGGTGGAGTTGGCACATTTGATGTAGGGGGGGGGGGCCCTGCCTTCATTTTTGGTTCAAATCTTCCAATTTTTTGGGTGCACGCCTAATT